CAGGATGAAGCAATCTCTCCTCCTGACCAAGTTAGCTCAGAGATCCTCCTCCATGGCCACCCRGGCCCTGCTCAACAGTACCCAGTCACAAGTTCTGGGCTCCTCGTGCCCCCAAAGAGTCTTGCAGCAGGAGTCTTGCAGCAGGAGATGCAATCCTGACTGTGGGTCAGTGACTCTACCTAAGGTTCCAAGTTGTGTCAGGGGAAATTTAGATTTGATTCTGGGAAAGATTTCTTCATGGAAGGGTTGTCCAGTCCTGGCAGAGGCTGCTCAGGGCAGTGGTGAAGTCACCATTCCTGGAAGTGTTTAAAAAACATGTGTATGTGGCACTTCAGGACATGGTTTAGTGGTRAACATGGTGGAGGTGACAGATTGGCATTAGAGGCCTTTTTCAATCATAATGATTCTATGATCCTGATTCTCCTGCTATAGCAACAAGTTCCTGTGGTTGGATTCTTAATACTGCTCATAGAGGCACCTGGTCCAGCAGTTCCCCCTTATCCAAAGGAACAGGCTAGTGACAAACCTGTTTCCATGCTTTTCCTTACATTAAGTCYCTTTTTGGGTGGTCAAAGTAGTTCTTAAAATATCCTTTGTGTCAAAGTCCCTTTTCAGCAAGCACCAGTAGGCGTCCAAGGCTTCAYGGGCAGTGGCCCTTGGAACTCCCAAAATGACACAAAGTCAAGGATTAAYCCAAAGACACCCAGTCTTTGAACTGATGAGTACTGCTTAACTTTAGATCCCTAAACAAGCTAAGCAGAAAATCTGCAATTTTGAAAGTGGGTGAAAATGTTAAAAATCCTGGCACAAATACCCAGAAAAATTTAACCATGAGAGGCCAAAGCCCAGGAGGGGTCGATCAGCAGCCACATGAGGGCAACAACCAAGGGGCACTTCTGGAAGGAAGAGCAAGGCATTAACTACAAGAAAAACAGGAGCAKTCTTCTCTCAGATTTTATTTCAACTCCATTGCTAGCTTCACCCCATTAAGAAATCCATTAATTTCTACAGGATTTAAGAAGA